TTTAAATGTGGTAACATTATATCATTTCAGCTATAATGATCATAATTACTTATTTCTTTTAATCACAACCCACTTAACCACTTTAGTACAGAGGACTAGTTCAAGGAGTTTAATTTCCATTCAACATCTAATCTTTGTGTTTACTGAAACCCTTCCCGGGCTTTGTTTACTGTCTGCGCGCTGGCCTGGACGTTTGATCTTGCAGGACTAGATCAGACAGCGTCAGATAAAATACTGATTACTAGAATAAACCAGGCTTGGGGAAGGAACTCTGATTTTTAACATCCTCGTTGCTCCCAGCTTTTTAATATTTTGCTAAATAAACTCAAATAAACAAATAGAATTAAGACAACTAGCAATCAGGGGGTTCTTGAGCAATGACTGAGAAGAAGAAAGTGATGGGGATAATTTTGCTTTTTGAACAAACTATGGGGTTTGGTTAGGTCCATGCATTCTAGTGGTATTATTTTATGACACAAATAATTTCACGATATGCACTAGTATCCATGTGAACTTGCGATGACCCCTTAATTCTGTGACATATTAAATACTTGAGCTCGACCTCACCAGAGACAACAGTTCACTTGGTGTTTGGTGCCAAGTGCAAAAAACTTCAGATATAAAATTATTTTTTAACTTGTTAATTTTTAATTAGGAAAGATTTAAAATACAAGAGCCCTTCTTTGTTGTCACTATCTTATTCTTATAAAATCCCCTGCATGAGTAGACTGCCACAAAAGTATCGTTGCTAATGGTATGGCTCTCATAATTCCACTTAGTTTCATAAAAATGGTGGGGAAAGTTTTTGCCTAAAAGTAAGTAACACAAAAGAAGAATTAGGTTAAAAATAAGTTTTTTATTAAAATGTATAGAACAGCCCTAGCTGGTTTGGCTCAGTGGATAGAGCATTGGCCTGAGGACTGAAGGGTCCTGGGTTTGATTCTGGTCAAGGGATCAGTTGTGGGCTCGATCCCTGGCCCTTGTCAGGGTGGATGCGGGAGGCAACCAATCGATGGGTCTCTTTCGATGTTTCTGTCTCTCCCCCTCCCTTTCACTCTCTCTAAAAATCAATGGAAAAATATCCTCCGGTGAGGATTAACCAAAAAATAAAATGTATAGAACCTATGAAAGAACAATTGACAGAGTAAATCCTACATAATCCCAAGAATTCTTGAAAATAACATGATGGCATGAACATCTTTAGGTCTTTGTGGACTATCCTTGTATCTAACACTAAAACTCCTCCACATTAAACAACTGTTAATATTGCCCTTTTTTTGTTCTTTTACACAACATGCACGCTTCTTTCCTTATACTTTTGAAGCTTACTGCTCTACATTGTAAAATGTAGGCCAGAAGCAATTATAGTATGAGATGAACAGCAATAAAAAAAAAAAGCTGTCTAAACCAACCTACTACCCCATTCACCCGCTTCATTTCTTCATGGGATGTAGGCTCATAGTTCTGGACCTTAAAACCAGAATATACACACTGTCTTCCCATCCACCATGAATTAACACTAATGTAACTCAAATATGTCTGTGTCAACCATGATTGTCTTTGAAATTAAAAGAAAAAGGTAAACAGAATGTGCTCTGCTATGATCTCTGGGGAAAATAAAGTTAACAGGCTAACCCAAACCAACTTAGGTCTTTTTAAAAAATAAGTGTAAATAGTTTAGCTTTAAGAACAACAAATTCAAAAAATGCACATTAAAATGTTTACTTCAAAATTTAGACAATTCCATTTGTATATAGTTTTTACATCTGTTTTTAATGATATCAAGTTATTGATTGTTCATTTTTCTCATATTTATTTAAGCATTAACTATAGAATTTGCAATCTGATCGTTTTTTTTAATCCTTCCAGTAGACTTTTATTTTTGCCAGGTTTTAGTCATATTTACTTTGATCTTTCTGAGTATATAATTATTTTACTGTTTATTTATTTCTATGAGAAGAGAAAAAAAATTTGACCTAGGAGATCTATATGTGGCAATTTGTAACAGAATCACATGGCTTATGTTTAGGAAATCATGGTTTTGATTAAGAAGCAACCATTTAGTTCCCACTGTTTTATTAAAACAGACATTAGCAGATAATAGGAAACATATTTGACAATGCAGCCGGCCTTCAGTCTGGGACATCAGTGAGTTAGCGCGAGATTTCCTTCCACGCTATCAGCCATGGTAACTGTGGGCTGAAAGCGAGGAGGGAGGGGTTGCGGGGAGGAAGCCCAGAAGGAGGGAGAACTGACTTCTCAGCTCTCAGGAAGAGCCCCGAGGTGGAATTCTGGGTTTGCTACTACTCATTTCCTTCTTTTTATTTATTTATTTATTTATTTTTTCATTTTGAAAATGGATGGACACAAACAGAAATCTTACAAACAAAATCATTACTTTCTCGTGAGAACTGGATTCTATGAGAGAGGATCCCCCACAGCAACATCTATTCGGAGCATAGAGCTCCTAGCCAATGAACCGTGTCTGTATCGGTCCAACACGTGCTTTCCTCTGGGGGTGGAGAGTTAATAAAACACGCTTCTCGGGGTGTGGATCTTCTGCGCACCCTCCTACCTGCCGTGAATGCTTTGTTTTCCCTCCCACCCCCTGGGCTGATGCATCAACACCACTTGAACTGTTTTACGGCAGCTTGTGTTTACTTCACACATACCTTAACCTTCCCTGTTCTCCTCCTACCGACACACACGCTCGCAAACACACGCTTTCCGCAGGAATGACTAGCTCCATCTCCCTGAACAGCATGTGTACACAGCGTCTGGCAGCCTCTTCAGGTATGTGGATCCTTGACCCCTGATTGAAATCAAGGTCTCAGTCTGCTTTTACGGCACTTAAACAATTTAACTGTGCATTTACTATCTTGAAAAGAAAGAGGGGGAAAAAAAACCTGGACTGCTAAGGAAGACAAGAGAAAAGTAGAAGCCGTAAGGGTTAAGGTGCGTGTGCACAGATTCACACAGACACACGCACTCTCTGTAGTGGCCATCCTGAAACACTAGACTGAAGAGTTTCCTGTCTTTCTGAATCTGGGCTTACACTCCAGACGACTAAAGGAGGACACGCTCTTCCGTTCTCTCGTAACAGCGAGCAAATGGGATTCCACAAGTGACCTTGGAGCTGCGAGATTCTGTTGATTTTTAACCGAAGAGGGTATGTTCAAGCACTTGAACCATCTTATGCTAAAAGAAAAACTTGGAGACAGCGCTTACGGAAAAGAAACCCTTCTGAACCATGCAATCATGTCTTGTGGCGAGGAGTTGTTCATCGTATCCTGTACAAGAGTTAATACTAATAATATTCTAAAGCAAGTGCCCGAGCCAGAATCTAGAAGGTCCTAAGAATTTGAGAATAGGTTGAAAAGAAAGAGATCTGAACTCAATCTCCAGTGGATTTCATTTCTTTTGGGAGTCCAACATTTCGACATTTTTATAAGTTGTATATTTAGCATAAAATGCTCTCATTCCTTTGTAATCAAAAATGTGCCTCCAAAGGCAACCTGGTAAACTAGCTCCCAAATGTTCAACAACCAGCAAGCGCCCCTTCCACACTCTGAACCCCGAGAGGAACCAGCTGTAGTAAAACAAGCAAATCCGTCCTTCACTGTTACCTACTACCCACCAACCATGCCATTGGCCCTCAATGGGGCAGTGAATTGACAACAAGGCTACGAGAACCTACAATGAAATGTGATGGATGATATCATAACCATGCAAAATATGGACTGAAATACCTGTGAACATCAACCTATTATGTTACCCAAAATTCCCCAAGTGCCCTCAGGGGCCAGCAACATTTGAATTGAACAGCATTTGAACTGGGGTGAGAACAACGTAATTTTTCCAACATTGACATATGTGCAAAGGCCAAATATCACAAATATATTTAAAGGACTGGATGGTCTAAATCGCATGACATTTATTATATAAGAGAGCTGTATATTCAGGACCAGACATAATTTCACATGTAAGACATTACTAGTAGTACAACTACTGCTATTAATTATTGTTATAGTAGGAGAGCTACTAATTAAGAGATTGCTTTGTGCTAGTATTAACTTATTCATACTAGCTAGCCAGCAACTTAGATACTTTTATCGCTGCAACTTTCAGATACGGAAACTGAGTCTTGGTGAAGTTAAGAAATGTGTTTGAGCTCACACAGCTGGCAAATGGAAGATAATGATTTGAACACAAGTCCCTTTGCTTTAACAATGGATGGCTCTAGAATTGTCTCCGAATACACACAACAGCAAAACTCCATTTCTGACTCCAAAATTCCTGGGACCACAACAATCCTTCTAATATGTAATTGCTACTTAAACTACAAGTGCTGATTTAACCTAGAATGACTGCTTTTAAACTTCCATTACTATATAAGTGGAAATGATTCATTGATTAGCTTTTAAATAAACATGCCTATGTGAAATAAACCATTTCAAAATATTTTGAAAGATCTCAACCCCCACAAGCATCTCTTGTGAAAACTATAAACCTCATATATTATGCTAAGAATTTTACTTTTAGCCCTAGTGGGTTTGGCTCTGTGGATAGACCACTGGCCTGCGAACTGAAGGGTCCTGAGTTTGATTCTGGTCAAGGGCATATACCTCGGTTTCCAGCCCCGATGGGGGAGCATATGGGAGAAAACCAATCGATGTATCTCTCTCACATCAATGTTTCTCTCTCTGTCTCTCCCCCTCCTTCCACTCTGTCTAAAAACCAATGGAAAAAATATATCCTTGGGTGAGAATTAACAAAACAGAACAACAACAAAAAAGAATTTTACTTTTAGTTCTAATACCATCTTAGTTTTAAGGAAGTCAATTTGGATCTCTTGATGGAAATATTAAGAATATTATCTTTATTAAAAATTACATAAAATTTTATTTTAAAAGTATACCTAAAATTAGCATAAATTCCAAAGACTCAACAACTCATTAGCCTAAGAAACTGAAAACAGGCTTCAAAAATAAAAAGCTTACCTTTAATCTTCTTGTACTTCTTATACCATCGCCCAAACTCCTGGCACTTGGTTGCGGACACGTTGGCATAATATGTGCTATTTACAATGGATGAAATCATACTCTGTAAAGAAGAAAAAAACCACACAGTTATTTTTCATAAACGTGAGGACTCCCTTTTAGGGACAAAAAGGGCACACGATCGCCCACACCAATCTCCTTTGTCTTTTAAATTGGAAGGGCTCACGCTCCTGCAAACTAAACTATTAAACACTAAATATGATTACCTAGCCCTGGCTGGTGTGGCTCAGTGGATAGAGCGTTGGCCTTCGGACTGAAGGGTCCCAGGTTCGATTCCGTCAAGGGCACATGCCAGGGTTGTGGGCTCGATCCCCAATAGGGGGCGTGCAGGAGGCAGCCGATCAATGATTCTCTATCATCATTCATGTTTCTGTCTCTCTCTCCCTCTCCCTTCCTCTCTGAAATTAGTAAAAATATATGAACCAAAAAAAGGCATGATTACCTAAATTTACTACCCCTTTAACTAATACGTGTCAGAGTATAAGGGACGATGTCAAAGATGGATGGGCAGGCCCCGCAGGGCAGATGCCCAGGGAGAGAACAGTTGTGATTTAGGAACCAGAGCACCAGGTGAGACCGGAAGCCGCAGCCTCCGTCACCCAATAATGCCTTTCAGATGCGCCTGTTCCCTCTCCAACTGCAGCGAGCGCAGAGAGCCAAGAGCCAGGGAACATCCGTGCTGCACGCTGCAGAACAACGTTTAGGGAAATAAGTTAAATTAATATAATTTATAGAAACGTGTGATTAGCACTGGTGTGAAGATTCACCCAATGAAAAAATTAACAGTGCTATTTTGGAGCCAGGGAAACTAAGCCTAACACTTGTACTATGTTTCAACCAAAAATGAATCCAAGCTAAGCCTTTCTGAGTACCTCCCGCTGGATTCCTCTCGCTCCTCCTCCTCCCCTCCCTCCTCCGCAATTGTGGTAGAAAGAGAAGGGGAACATAACCCATTTACCACTGAGAAACTAAAATGGTGATCACACACCTTGAATTCTCTACAGCTATGTTTTCAGGCAATATACCATATCTGGGCCAGCGTTGGTGGCAAACAGTAACTATACCTCAATGAGTGTGATGGGACAGGCGTGTGTTTTATAAATAGGTTTTATTGCTGCAGATTCTGTCTAAAAACAAATGGACATAAACAATGCAGGAGATCTGAAGGTTTCTATCCTGCCTTGGACTCATCTTTCTCTAAAACAGGCCCCCCAGATACAAGGCAGCTGAGCGAAATTTTAGGGCGTCTCATGGCATTGCTACAGAGGAGCCGAGATGAAACGGAGGATGGCACCTTATTCACCAGGAGGCTCCAACCCAGCAGCGGTCCTGCACAGCCGCCCATTGGAAACAACGCCCTCTGCGAGCCCACACGCTCCCTCTTTCCAATCAGTGTGCAGCGCTGGTGGGGGAGGGGCCCTAATTCAATTCCCAGAAACCCCTTTGGCCCTTTCGCCAGAGCAGATGGCCACCCTCCCCCAGTTGCTGATCTCTAAGTGACAGCTCTGCTCTCCAAGGGGAAATAATGAGAACTCTCCACTCAGGATCTGAGCGCAGCCCTCGGAGGGCAAAGAGCCAGGAGCGCCTGAGAGTGTTGCCCAACTTTCGGGCCTCGCCCGCTGCCCTGGAAGATCTGTGGGACCCGAATCTTCCCCAGGGGCGTCGGCTGTGTATACTATTAACAAAGGGGGGAGGAGTCTCGTCCTAGCTGGGCCAGTGCCCTCTGGCTGAGCTGTTCTCTGTCCTGGTCTGAGATACCCAGACCTGGGATGAAGTGACTGTATCTGTTTCAATTTTTTCTTCCTCCCTCATGTCTACCACAGTGCTGATGTGGAATAGCTGAGTCACTGGAATATAAGAGATGAAAAGGGACAGCGATGAAATTTTAAAATGCCAAAGTGAAATGTCATAATAACGGAAGATTTAACGTGAAAGCCACCTAGGAGTAGAGGCACCGCCACCCTGGTGGCTGTGAACCGTGGCAAGTGGACTGGTCATCTCTGGAGGCTGTCTGTAGGGATGCTATCCCCCCGAAAGGCCCCGGCTACACAGCCACACAGGAGTCAGCACTAAGCCTTCGCTGCAAATGATTTCACATCCAGAGCGAAGGTGAGCTCAGAAGCGCCAGCACCCATCTTCCCAAAAATGCCTTTCAAATGGGTCCCCTTTCCAGCTGCAATAGAAAGACTGAGGTGGGGAGTGCCTCAGGCCCTGCCCGGAGCTCAACTCCTCTGCCCTAGGACGGGCCACAACCCCGGTCACTCGGGCCCCACACCGTCCACATGTCCACGGTCCACATTCCCTGCCTTCATGCTTTGTCTTTGCTCCACAGGCACCTTCCCTGACACAGCCCAATGCCAGCGTCGACCCAGGTGGAGAGGAGATGAACACCTGGCTTTCTATGGCTCTGTCACCAGGTCCTCTGCTGGGGGCACATTCACACTCTATTAAAAAGGAGGTGGCTACCGAGACTCAGCCAGATCTGTTCTCTTCCCCAGAGCACTATACGTTGGTTTTCATCTTTACTGATCGCAGAACAAAAAATAAACAGGGTGAAGCTATGAACTGAGCCAAGGAACCATGGGTAGTAAATGAAGAGAGCTTCCTAGCTAATGGGAATATTTAGTCACTGGAAAGATCTCTTCCAATTTGTGGCAAATTTTATTCCTACTAATTCAGAAGCGCCAGCGCCCGTCTTTACACATAGTTGACACTCCACTCGGAGAAGTCTTACTGATAGAAGGTTGTATAATTCCCCGGAGAGCTTTAAAGACAGAAGAGGTACATGTTGGGGATGTGTTAGATGCAAGGTCATGCTATGCCCTATTACTTCAGTTTCAAACATGGACATGCCCTAACCCTACATTAGACTGTTACATTCTCATAGCCCGAGTCTGAATTACTAGGCCTCACTAGAATATTCTGGACGCATACACTACCAGGTCAACTTCATGTTAATGTCAACTTATTTTTAAAAAATCGAAACTTAACTCCTTATAAACAACACTGCAAGGGCCTAAGGCAGACGCAGCACATGCGGCCTTTACAAGGAAGCACGCTCTCCGGAGGGCCCGGCACAGGGAATCTGGGTTTGCCACATGTCACCATTCTCCAGCCACGTTTTAAACACTTTACTGTCCCTGAAACTGGGACGCATCTTACCATCAGTAGCATGTTAGACCTGATGAGATACCGTTGCTGCAAAATGGAATGAGTAATGATTAAAATCTCCCCCACCTACTACCCTGCCAAAAAGATCTAATTTCCATTTACTGCTTTTTCAAAGACGTATATAATTCTGCAGTTTCCGTTGCTCTTTTATGTTTTCCAGTCATTCTTGAGCAACCACAGAACTTTTAGGATCCCCACTCCCTCCCGATAAATGAACAAGATCTTTTCCAATCCAGAATGCAACCAAACCCTGAGTGTCCATGTCAATATAATGCCATGCTGATACAAATCAAAAAGGTAAGTGTGCTGTTATGTGTTGGCTAACCAAAGGGCTGTGCTTTATGGAGGGTTATAGTAAAGTGACTGTGCATATACTGAGCTCATTTCTTCTTTTTTAAAAATATATTTTTATTGATTTGAGAGAGGAAGGGAGATGGAGAGAGAGATAGAAACATCAATGATGAGAGAGAATCATTGATTGGCTGCCTCCTGCACACCCTACACCGGGGGACTTAACCCGCAACCCAAGCATGCGCCCTTGACTGGAATCAAACCTGGGACCCTTCAATCCGCAGGCCAACGCTCTTCCCACTGAGCCAAACTGGCTAGGGCTGAGCTCATTTCATGTTGCATGGTGCAGGCTATAAGAAAGAACGGGGAGGACACATACAATGGGAAGTCAAGGCAGCCCCTCAGACACTAAGTCACAGCCAGGAACATCACATGGACAGGGATACACCACAGCTACTTTATGGGAAAATATTATGTGTTAAAATAAATAGGAAGGCTTAACATGTCCTGCCAACTACAGAAATGTTCTGGAAGTTCCAGGCCTCTTTGTAATTAATCGTGAGATTATAAATATGAAGACTGTAGATGGGGCGTATAATCAAAGTGTCCTCATTTGCAGTTACTCTGACACATCATTTGCCACTAGTTTTTGCAAGTTTTGGGGTTTGTGTTTTTTTTATATAAAAGGAGGTATTTGAGAAATCGAAATATACCAGAACTAGTTACTCCAAAGTTTACTAGCTCTTTTGAATTTGCTCCACACCAAATTGCAAAAGCATATAATAATACTGCTAATAGTACTTATGAGAGCTAAGTAGACTGCCTTATCTAAAAAGAAATTTTGTTTTAGGCTCCTCAGACAAATGTTAACCACATTCGTGTGTGTTTTTCACTAGTCAGAGAACAGATGTCACCTGTGATTAGAACTAAGGTTCCAATTTGCAAATTGAGGGCACGAAGCTCAGAATGTAGCGTCTTGTCCAAAGTCATCTTGCCCCACAAAGACACACCACTACCAGGCCCCACTGCATCATGGGTCTCTTAAGAAGGGAAACTAATGAATGAAAGGAAGGACGTATTCCCCAGCACCTCCATCTGCCAGCACACGCTCAACACTGGACACTGCAATCAATTCTTTAGACAAAGCAGGAAACAAGGTGACAGAAAGTAAAGCAACGGTGTGACCTCAGGCCCCTTCTATGAGCGGATTAAGTTTAGAGTCAGAGAAAACTAAGGAATCAAACTTAGTAGGAAAAGCAAGACAATAACCATGAATTAAGATGATCTGTACAAGACACTTAGAAAGATCTGAGGATCCCCTCTCCCTCCCCCAAAAGAGAAAGATACAAGAATTGTCTGTTCTTCACTGCCTTCCCCGTGGCTCAGTGAGATTTGTTTGAACAGGAACATTACAATAACAGCAGCCAACCAGCAGACCCATAATACCGTTGCTCTAAAAAAGAACATTTTAAAAGCAAAGTGGATGGTTTAGACATTCTGCCAGTGGAAATGTCCTGTTTAGCAAGAAGAGTGTCAGAGTAAGGGAGAAGCCAGCATCTCTGGCCTCCTGGCCCACGCTAA